TGGGGGTCTATCTTCGTTACCTGCCACGTGTATTTCGTGCAGCCCCTAACACAAGGGAAGAGAAGACGGGTGGAAGGGGCAGGGATAATAATGGAGCACGAAAGAAATTACCAGAAGGGGGGCAAGGAGCAGAAAACAAGTGGTAGAACCAGACGGGCAGATCGGGTGGGCAGACGCATAGCGGGCAGCTCGGGAAGGCGGGCCCAGGCGACCAGGTCGAGCAGGCGGGTTGCTGAAACGTGGGTCCTGCATGAATCGCGAGGAAGTCTCGAGCGATAGCGCGATTCCCAAGTAACTCGTGGGAAAAGCCAGCGTGGGTCACGAAGGGCATCACATCTGAGGCCACAGAGGGTAGCGACGGGGCCGCTGAGGGCAGCACCGGGGCCACGAAGAGCAGCGATGGCGGCCACAAGGGGCGACAGCGGGGCCACGAAGGGTATGCATATGGGGCCACGACGGGCGCGAGCGAGCGGGGGCCACGAAGAACATTCGTAGACGGGGCCACAAATGGCGACAGCGGGGCCACTGAGGGCAGCACCGGGGCCACGAAGGGCAGCGAGGGGGCCACGAAGGGCGACTGCGGGGCTTCGAAGGGCATGCGTATGGGGCCACGGCGGGCGCGTGTGAGCGGGGGCCACGAAGGGCATATAATGCGGGGCCGCAAAGGGTAGCGACGGGGCCACTGAGGGCAGCAACGGGGCCACGAAGGGCAGCGAGCGAAGGCGACCGCAGAACCAGTACGGGCAGCGAGGAGCATCGAAGGCGGGCAAAGGGCAGCGAGCGGCGACTGCAGTCATTAACGGGCTGGTCGGGCGGGCAGGCCCCGACTGGCGGGTCGAGTGGGCGGGTCGTTGAAGCGTGAGTCCTGCTGGAACCGCCAGGCAATATGTAGCGGGAGCGCGATTCCTGAGTGTCGAGGACCGGTATCTTCATAAATTGTAAAGAAATATCATGCGAAGCGCCTCGGTGGTAATTTGCGGGTATGTCCCAAGCGAGAACGCGATTCTGCAATACATTGTCAGGAAGAATCAGGCGGGAGCCTCGATTCGTAGTAAATTAAAAGGGAATCTCAAGCGGGAGCGCGATTCTTCAATCAATGGTGAGGAAATATCAGGCGGGAGCCGTTGTTGTCGTTGTTGTTGTTGTTGAACATTATTAATTCTAAAGAATAATTATTGTTGGGCCCCCTGGTGCACGCCCCCCCCGCCGCGCCTAGGCCGCAGCTACATTTTCATCATTTTCGTGAGGAAGCCTCAGGTAATTCGATGTGATCAAGATCCGGTTGTTTTGTTCCCCCCCGCTTTCCCTTGCAAAAAACACTATAAAATGAAATTTCTTGTTCAAATGTAATCAAATTTCAAGAATCCCTTGCAAAAAATAAGGTAAAGTGGACATTCGCGCGCGCAAGACGAAATCCTTCCAAAAGCTTAGTGTTCGGAGCGATTTTAACATAAAAACATCAAAAAACCAATGGTTTTTCAACAAAAAAATGTCAAAATCTCATCCCGCGCGCTCTTGCGGATTCGTAGGAAACCCAACACTTTTTAAACATTTCTGTCAAACGGGCTTTTGCGAGCAACTTTTTCGAACTTCTGCGACAACGGTTGCGCACCTGCCAGGGCCATCATCCCTGTCAAATAATACCATGCGGGACACATTCGTTTTTTCTTCGCGCGCGCACGCCGAAATCTCCAAAAACCATTGGGTTCTTAAGAATTTTACCACCGCGCATCATAAAATCGCACCGTAGGTCCTCGAAAAACACTGCTGGGCACATGCGCGCCCCGAATAAGTGACCAAGTTCTGTGGGTGTGTACCCCACGCCAGTGTAGTAGCCACGGTCGTCCGCACGCCACGAAGTGAAGTGTCCCAACGTCATAGGGCGGGAAGCTGGGTTTGGGTGGTCGCGAAGAGTCGTTTGGATATTTGGTAGAGCTTGTAATGCCCCCCCACGAAGTGGGGGTATTGCCTGGTGTCGTATGAAAACCCTGGCACTGGGGAGAACACCACGCGTTCGGGTAAAATGATTGTTGTTGTTGTTGTTGTTGTTGTTGTTGTTGTTGTTGTTCTTGTTCTTGTTATTGTTGTTCTTTTTGTTGTTGTTGTTGTAAACCGGGGGCCAACGACAGAGTTTGATCCTCAAGACTTTCCCTGATAAAAAACAAGGTGCGAGCCCCGGAAGGGGCACTTCAATCGAAAAGATACAATGTGCACTGGGCGGGGGGATCAACAATAATTATTCTTCAGAAATGAAAATTCAACGGCTCCCGCCTGGTACTTCCGCAACTTTGTATTGATAATCTCGCTCTCGCTCGGGGCTTACTTGCAATTTGCCCAGACATGGCGCGCACTCGCATTGGACTTTCTTGCGATTTACTCAGACGCCGCGCCCTCAACAGTCAAGAATCACCCTCTCGTTGTGGACATCTTCACGACTTACTTGGGAATCGCGATATCGCTGAAGACTTTCTGGCGACTCATGCAGAATAGAATTCACGTTTCAGCGACCCGCCCGCTCGACTCACCCGTTTGGGTCCGCCCGCCCGACCCGCTCGTCAGGGACCGCAGTCGCATCTCGCTGCCCATCGCCAACATTCGATGCCCCTCGCTGCCCTTCATGGTTCCACAATCGCTTTTCGCAGCTCCGTCGCTGCTCTCGTGACCCATCGATGCCCTTCGTAGCCTCCCTTGCTGTACTCCTTTCCTCCTCGCTCAATCTCGTTGTTCCTGTCCCCTTCCCGTTCCTGCATTAAGGGCTCAGAATGCAGGTAAGGAAGATATGCCGCCAAAGGGTGTACGAACGAAGATGAAGAAGGCGGGTATCAAGGGTTCAGGTTATACGTATTCATCGACACACGAGCGGATGGGAGCGAACATTTTGAAAATGGCTGCTGAACGTTAATTGCTGAACACTCTCTTTTGTTGGACCCCCTGCAGGCGCTTTGGCGCTCTCACCTCGGCGCCGGCTGCGCTTCCTTGGAAATTGGTACTCACGCTCGAGCGTTTCGGGGTTCCGGCCCAAACCCGCTTCCCAACAACAGCGCTCCCGTGCGATAGTTCCTCACAACAGTTTACTCCGAGAGGCATTGGCCAGAGAGGGCTCGGGCCTCAGAAATGGCGCTCTCGTCTGAGACATCTTCGCAATACAGCACCACAACGGTGTTCTTCAAAGCAGCCTTGCCGCCTCTTGCGAATGCCAGAACGGCCGTTTCGCTTGAGACTTCCCCTCGCGATTAGCACTACGGAGGGCCCTTCAGAACCAGGCGTCTGCTATTCGCGCATGTTGGCACGGCATTTTCGCTCGAGGCGCTTTTGCAATTCAGCACCACAAGGGGGTCCTTCAGAGCATTATTGCTGCTACTCGCGGATGCTGGAATGGCCGTTTCGGACATTCCTCGCAAGTCAGTGGCGCAGGGGAGTCCGTCAGAGCAGTCTTGGCGCTACTTGCGGAGGCCCCATGAGGCCCCAGGACGTTCCAGGGAATATGTTCGGGAATCGTTTTCGGCCCTCCCGTCACCAGGAGGCTCCAGGAGACCCCAAGAGGCGCTTTCTGTCTTGGGATGTGTGTTCGGGGAGCGCTTTTCGGGCCCTCCGCTCCTGGGAGGCCCCAGGAGACACATTTCTGTCTTGGGATATCTGTTCGGGAAACGTTTTTCGGCCCTCCCACCCCCAAGAAACGCTTTTCTGTTTTTGGATAGCTCAATGTTCGGGGAGCGCTTTTCGGCCCCAAGAGGCCCAGGAGACACTTTTCTGTATTCGGATATGTGTGTGTTGGGGAGTGTTTCTGGCCCCCCGTAGGCTTCGCCCTCATCGGCTTCGCCTCTATGAGCTTCGCGGCCCCTTTCCTGGGGCTCGAACCCTCTGTGCTTTCGTGTTCCTGTAGATTACCCCTCGACTTGGGCTCGAATGCTGAGTATTATACGTCTGCTCCTCTGCATTCCCTTCGACTGGGGCTCAAATCTTTTGTATTCCACGTATGTTCCTACATATTGCTCCTCTCCTGGGGCTCGACCCCTTCGTGTTTTGAATCCACAGAATCGCACTGCTTTTCATGTGTCGTGGGAGCTGAAAGTGGGAATGTGCCTTGGGAGAGGTGTTGGTTCGGCCTCCTTGGGCGGGAGACCTGGGTGAGGTGTGGGAAGATCGCCCCCCTGTTCATATAGCTCCCCCACGAAGGGGGTGACATTATGATGGATGCATATGGCATGTAGAAGCATGGCGCATGAGGGTAAATGATTGTTCTTATTGTGGATCCCCCCTCTGGTGCACATTGTATTGTTTCAATTGAAATGCCCCTCCTGGCGCTCGCATCCTGTTTTTTAATCAAAAAATATTCCTCCTCAAACTGTGGCCCTGGCCCCCGGTTTACAACAACAACGGCACCCGCTTGGTACTTCCTCGAAATTTACTCCAGTCCCCCGCTCCCGCTTGAGACTTCCTCCCAATTTACTGAACCATCGCGCTCCCGCCTGAGACTTCCTCGCGATTTACTCAGACGCCGCGCTGTTGCCGTTCAGGAATCGTGCTTTCGCTGGGGGCTTCCTCAAATTCACTTAGGAATCGCTCTCTCGTTGGAAATTCCTGGCTAATCACGCAGAACTCACGAAGAAATATACACCCACCAAAAAATGTATGATCGAAGACAAAGAGGGCGGGTATCGAGGGTTCGGGAAATGCATTCTGAATGACACTCGAGCAGATAAGAGCGAACGGACTTAAAATGATTGTTGTTGTTGTTGTTGCTGGTGTTGTCGTCGTCGTCGTCATCATCGTCATCGTCGTCGTCATCGTCGTCGTCGTCGTCGTCGTCGTCGTTCTCGTCGTCGTCGTCCTCCTCCGCATCTTCCTTCTCATCCTCGTCGCCGTCATCCTCGTCGCCGCCGGCATCCTCGTCCTCGTCCTCGTCGTCGTCGTCGTCGTGGTCGTCCTCGTCGTCGTCGTCGTCGTCCTCGTCGTCGCCAGTGACGCCCTCCTGGTCGTCGTCGCCGTGCGCGGCGGTCCTGCTGTGCCGCTTCTGAGGCGGCTGCAGCTGGCCCAGGGTCCCGACGGCGCCCGGAACCCCGCCGCCGGGCAGGCACAGGCTGGTCTTCCTCTGGGCGCCCTGCTGGCCGGGCCTCCGGCGGCGCACGACGACGACGCCCGCCCACCCGTGCGTGCGTGTGAAGAATCGGACCGTAAGGTGCCCAGAGCTCAGACGATGGAGGATCTTTTTTCGAGCTGGGCGCGTTGCGTCGGTGTCAGCTTCCAGGGGGCCCGCCGTCGAGCCCCGGGGCCAGCAACCATGGATCCGGGACGGAACACTGCCGCGCTCGCCTGAGGCCTGCTCACCGACAGATCGGCATCGATCCTCAGTCCTCGACCGCCGCCGCCGCCGACGACGAGGACGAAGACGACGACGACGACGACGACGACGACGACGACGACGACGACGACGACAACGAAAGTTTCATTACTGTTGCCTGCCCATTCCCTTGCAGGCCCCATGCTCCCCGCGACGGCCGAGGAGCTCTGGGGCCGCACCTCGAAAGCTCGTACAAGCGGACGACTGTTCCAACTTGTGCTCGGCCTCCTGCTCGCCATCGCTCGGACGTCCATTCCCTGTGCATTTGTCGATTTCGTGCGTGTATTTTTTCGTAAGGTGACCCACAATGCTCTTCGATGGTCCTCGCCCCCAAAAAATGCACAAGTCCGAGCGATGCCAAGCCTGGGGCCCTCGCTGGGCCCTGGGGCCGCCGCGGGTGCAACGCCGGCCCCCGGGAACGTGTCGGGTCTTCCGGGCCCCCCGTGCGGAAAACACGGCGACCTCGGAGGTCCGGGGTCTCGGATCCTCTCTGGAGGCGCTTCCTCGCCACGGCTGGCTCGCGGCTCGGAGAACGGGCCGGGATGGGCCCACGGAGGGGGCCCCTGGGCAACCCAACCTCGCGCACCGCGTCCCGCGATGCGCGAGCATCTTCGCGCTGGCACGCCCTCGCGACGCCCCCAGGGAGAAGGGCAACAGCTCTGGCCCCGGCCGCGACGCGCAGAGCGCACTTATCCTCGCGCCCCCGCGGGTGACCGCCCCTCGCGCGCCGAGCGAGCGAACGCCACCAGCGAGCGAGCGAGCGCACGCCGCGAGCGAGCGAGCGAACGCCGTCAGCGCGCGGCCCCCGGCACGCTTGCGCGCCGGCGCCTTCGAGAGCGCGGGCCCCCAAGCCTCTCGATGCCCCTTCCGCCCGTGCAGACTCTCCATATGCCGAGGGGCCTTTTCTCCTGGTGGCCGCGGGAACCTCCTCCTCCTCCTCCTCCTCCTCTTCCTCCTCCTCCTCCTCCTCATCCTCCGATGCCGTAAAGACACGATGTCGGAGGCCCGCGCGGATTTCTCGGGCTGGCGCTGGGGCCCCCTCCCACGGCGCGCGGAGCGCGCCACGGGCGGCGCGGAGGCGCCGAGGGGGGCCGATGCGAGCATCCCGCGCGAACCCACGAAACTTTCTGTATATAACCAGCCTCGAACGTATCCCTATCCCTAAGATTGGCACGCCAAAAGGCGATGACAATCTTAGGGATTCGCCCTCAAAAAATAAGGGAATCCCTAAGATTGGCATCGTGATGAGGAGGTGCCCAGCATAGGGATTGGGATATATTCCAGGCTGGTGAGCTTATGTCATTCGTTCTTTGCTGATCGTGAAGGCCACAGCCGGCGATGAGCCCAGGGGGCCCGCCCGCCATCAGAGGGGGCTGGGCGCGCGCGTGCGCTCGGGCGGCCGGCGGCAGCGGTGCGCGGGAAGCCAGGAGGACCCGAGCGAGGTCCCGAGGGCCCACCACGGTCGACGCGGGGCCGAGGTGCCAGGCCCGCTGGGGCTGGCCCCAAGGGGGTCGGGCGACTTTTTTCTTTTGGAAGGAGCTCGGCCTCGTGTCGGCATCCGTGGCGTGTGGTTGCGCTCGCATCCGAGCGCGCCAGGTTTGGTGCCCCTCCTCAGCAAGAGGTCGCAACGCATACGCGGCGCACCCTGAAGTGCCTATTTGTTTCCCGAGGGGGGCTGCATCCCAGCCCAAATTCCCAAATTCCAAATCCCCAAATCGTCTGGTTTGAACATCATCGATGAATACCTTTGCTATTGCAAATTCTCTGGAAAAGGTATTTCAATAGATTCTGGTCCCACAGATGGGGCTGGTTTTGGCCACGACGCCGAACCTGTTCAGACGTCATCGCGACGCAGCCCGGCAGTGCCAGACCTCGTCGCGGTGGCCCCAGGCAGCGTCTGCTTTCGCAGCGCCTTCGAGGTGCCATTCGGGGCGCTCGAATCCGATTGGCGAACTTCCGCGGTTGCCCGCTGGCGCGAAGGAGCTTTCGAGGAGCTTCCCGCCGATCGTTGACGCGGCGCGGCAGTGCTGGCTTGAACGGTTGAGTTGGACCCACACGGGCGCCCCTGAAGCCGCGCAGCAAAGGTCACTCCGACCTGGGGTCACTCTTGCGTGTAGTCGATCGGAGTGCGGATCCCTACTCCGATCTAGTGTTTCACTCCGCGGCCCCTGAGCTCCTGACCCCTTCCCTGCGGATGGTCTGTCGTCCCAGATCCGTTTAGGCTTACGTCGGGCGTGTCCCCCTACAGGGGGATTTTCGACGAAACATGAAACATACTCCAAACATACTCCGAAATGGCGAAACATATTCAAAAAAATAGTGCCCAGACAATTTTTTTTTAATACTATTTTTGAATATTCCTCCTGTCGAGGGACAGGCCCGACTTCAGTGTAGGCCGGCCCCGGGGCCCGAACACGGGCTCCAGAGAGGCCGTGCTCGACGAAACACATGCGGGATTGAGAAGGCATCGCGCCGTCGGAGCTCTGCTATAAAGGGGCCCTGGGACACACAAACACACACAAGTAAACAGATTCCCATTTTTTTTCCATATGTTCTGGGGTTTTGTCTTCCCCCCCACTTCCCATATTTTCCCATACTTTCTGGGAATCGACGATTGATTGTGTCTGTGTGTTTTTTCCCCTCCTGATGTTAGCGCGAAGGCCAGGGCGCCTCCTCGGACAGAGGCCTCCCGACTCGAGTCCGAGAAGACTGGGTCGGGGGATCGCGCCGATCCTCGCCGCTGCATCGCCGACGTCGGCGGGGGAACGTCGGGGTCCACATCGAGCCGCATCACCGATGCATCGGCGATGCGGCGCGATCTCTCGACCCCACCTGCTCGGACCCCATCTTCCCTGGAGGCCCACATCGGAAGGCCGCGCCCCCGCCCCCGCCCTGCGCCTACACCCCCACCCCCCCCTCGTGGCCAAGACGCCCGACGTCATGTCTGTTCGCATCACGTGGGCACCCGGCGGTCTCCACCCCTTCCCCGGGACCGGCTCTTCTTCCTGGGTCGTCGCTTGGCGGTCCCGAGGCCCAGCTGGGGCCCCCAAGGCAGAGACTGTGGAACCACCGTCCGCGGCGCTTTTTTCCACGACCCGAGGGGGTCTGGGGTGCTGAGCAGGGACCGACCGTCCCGGCATTCCTATAGTCCTACCACGAAATGCTCTTAGAACCCAGAAATGTTCTATAAGAACAAAAACAGTGTTCTCAGAACAGAAACCCGATGTGTTGAAACAGGCCAATCCTGGCCAGACATGTTCTGAGAACATTTCGTGGGAACCACCAACAAGTTCTCAGAACATTGTTTCGGGAGCGGCCAAGAGGGGGGTGTCCAAGAGGGGGGGGTGCAAATCATGACCGGCGGCATGTGCGCGGCCCAGCGGGGGGGCCAGGGACGTAGTGAAACAAGAAGAGGCGCCACGAGATCTGGGGAAATCTCATGGCCCCCGCCATGATATCCCCCCTCCCCCCCCTAGTCATCACCCCCCTCTTTGCCGCCCCCGATCGCCCAGGGAGGTGGACGGCTTCCCCCGGGGCCGTAGGCGACCCGAGGAGGGGAGGGCAGAGAGGAGGAGGAGGAGGAGGAGGAGGAGGAGGAGGAGGAGGAGGAGGAGAGGAGGAGGAGGAGGAGGAGGAGGAGGAGGAGGAGGAGGAGGAGGAGGACGAGGAGGAGGAGGAGGAGGAGGAGGCGGAGGCGGAGGAGGAGGAGGAGGAGGAGGAGAGGAGGAGGAGAGGAGGAGGAGGAGGAGGAGGTGGGGCCTATCGGCGAGCCGGGACGCTCCGCCACTGCTCGCGAGGGCGGTGCTGCGCCCTTGGGAGGCCCGAGGCCGGCCTGCTCTGGGACGGCCGCCGCGCTGCCGCGTGCGCGGCGCCGCCGGCGCCCTCGTCGAAGCCGACGTGCCTCTCTCGGGGCCCAAGCGCCATGTGAGGAGGAGGCTAGGGGAGGAGGAGAGGGGAGGAGGAGGAGGAGGAGGAGGAGGAGGAGGAGGAGGAGGAGGAGGAGGAGGAGGAGGAGGAGGAGAGGAGGAGGAGGAGGAGGAGGAGGAGGGAGGAGGAGTTTTGGAGCGCGAGGTGGCATGGCGACCTCACGCCGCGGCTCGCGCGGGCCGCCAGCGTGGCGAGCCAGCGGACACGAGGGCGCCCTGCGCGCGACCTCCCGCGGGCAACTCACGCGCAAGCGGACGGCCCTGGGTTCTTCCGTTGCCCATGTGCCACGGAAGTCGCGGCGGGCGTCCCTCGCCCACATGTCGCGGTCGGGGGTTCCAAGACGGGTCTACACATGCGATGCTCAACGCTGGAATGAAAAAGCATGGGAGGGACGAATATAGCTCCCAGAGAACCCCCAAATAAGCCCCTCATCGGTGCATGATGGCAACGAAGCAGGTCCAACAAACCACAACCGGACCCCGAACAGGATTCCCGCACCCCCCCACGGGACGCCTCCCCCCCTGTTTACAAGCCGACCGTTTTCGCCTAATTTGGGGCCTTGGGACCATCGCAGATCGATCCGTCAAGAAAGGCGGCGCAGATAAATGGAGTCAGGGGCTCCAGCCGTAATGTTGTACGATGTTGTATTTTTTCGCCACGTCGGATCTCGGGATCGCCCCCGTGTTTCGGTCGGCGGTGACAACATGCTCGCGCCGTGAAAAAACTCGACGGTGGATTTTTGACAATTTTCAACCTCTGGGGGCCCTCCCGGGCCCATGGGATCGTTGAAGCACGACTCGGGATGAAAAGCTGGCTCCAGGGAATGGGTCGAGGCACCCGGGGGTTTACGCATGTTGAAAATCAAGGCGTCGCATACCTAGAAGACAGGCACGCGCGCGATAATGCATACTGATTTGAGAAGCCTTGGGCCACATTCTTCGCCGATCTTTGAGGCCCTACAGCGGCCCCGAACTTCTGTGGGTCCCTGGGGCCATCGGGTGATACGAACTTTCCGTGGGGCATCTGCTGGCTTGCCGATTTCTCACGTGAGGCGCCAACTGGAAGGGATGGGGCCCCGAGGACGAGAAAGGAGCCCGACACTGATGCTTCAATGCTTCCGGCCACTCGTCCTCCTAGACCCCCGACGTCATGATTTCTTCGTAACATCAAACCCCAGAGGTCTCGACCCATTCCCCAGGACCGGCTGTTCATCCTTGGCCCTTTTTTGATTGTCCGGAGCCCCAGTCGGGGCCCCCAGAGGCCGGAAACTGCCACAAAGCAGCCCGTCGCAACTCTTTCATGACCCGAGGGGTCTGGGATCGAGGCCACTCGTCCTCAACGAGGGGAACAAAAAGTGGCATAAACATAAAAACTCGGAGGTCCGCGCGCCAGGGGCGGCGCCCGAGGCGCCGCCAGGGCGCCCCAGCGCCGATCCGAGAAATCCGCGCGGACCTCCGAGTTTTTTTATGTTTATGCCACTCTTTGTTCCCCTATCCACGCCCTATCCCTCGGGCCTCGGGGATGGGCAGAGGGCCCCTCCTCTGGCAAAGCAGCCCTCTCTCCTCCCTCCTCCCTCCCTCCCTCCCTCCCTCCCTCCCCCCTCCTCCCTCCTCCCTCCCCCTCCTCCCTCCTCCTCCCTCCCTCCTCTCCCTCCTCCTCCTCCTCCTCCTCCTCCTCCTCCTCCTCCTCCTCCTCCTCCTCTCCTCTCTCCTCCTCCTCCTCCTCCTCGTCCTCCTCCTCCTCCTCCTCCTCCTCCTCCTCCTCCTCCTCCTCCTCCTCCTCCTCCTCCTCTCTGGTGTAAAAAAGCGCCAGACCTGGGCGGCCGCAGGTGCGCACCCGTTTGCGGGCTGGGCGCCCGCAGCGAGCACCGAGAGGTGGGCGCTCCTCGGCCGGGCAGGGAGGCGAGGCTCTGCAGGCCTCCCCAGACTGCCTCGAGTCGTGCGACACATCGCGCGAGGCTCTCGCCTTTGCCGCTATCTTCGGCCTCCGGGGCCCTCGCTGGGCCTAGAGACCGTCAAACAGCGGCTCAGGAGGAAAAGCCCGTCCTGGGGAGTGGGTCGAGACCTTGGGATCAAACGATTACGACGTCGTGGGTCTGGGGCTGGGGCGCCGGGAGGCCCCTCGGATCGGGCCCAGCGCGGGACGTGCCGCGGAGAGGCGGGGTCGAAAGCCCCAGGCCGTGCTTTTCTCCACGGTGTTTTCCTGGTCGTTCCTGTTCGGGCATGGGCTGCCCTGGCTCAGCGCACACCAGGCTCAAGCAGCGCAGCAAAAACTGCGCCGCAACTTTTTGTGCTTCCCAAGCCCGGCTCAGCTATATGTGAGGCCACTCCCAGGGCCTCGAGAGCTCCCGAACCCAGCTCAGTCAAACTTCAGCTCTGCAGGATTCTGCAGTGTCGGGCGTCCTGACTGCGCCCCGATTGCGCTGGGCTTCATTCCCAGACCGCCGACGCCAGGATATTTTCACAACGCCGACCCCCAGAGGTCTCGACCCATTCTGGGGACCGGTAGCTCAACTTGTATTGCTTTCTGACGGCCCCGAAGCCTGGAAGGGGCCCCCAGAGGCCAGAACTGGCGAACGCCCTTCCGTCGTGGTCGCTTCTCCGCTACCTGCTGGCTGATTCGTTAGTTCGTGATCGCGCTGGATCTCGGGGCCGCCTCATGAGGCTGCCCCGCGGCGGCGCGCTGGTGCTCGAGCCCAGCAGCACGGGGCCCGTGCTGGAGGAGGCGGCCGCGCCGTCGCGCCCTCCCTCGTCGTCCGAGCCGTCCTCTTCCGGCAGGTGCGCGAGGCTTTCCTGAGGGGCGACGGCGGGGGGAGGACGGGAGGACTGGCTCAGGACGTAATGCGGGATGACGATTAGTAAAAAAAAATGGGAGAGAACGATTAAAAAATAGTGTTCTGCTATTTCTGCATAACTTTCTGACTGGAGGAGAACGATAAAATAATAGTTTTCCAGCCCGCGGCTGGTTTTTTCTAATCGTCATCCCGGGCGCCGCCGCGTGAACACGACCCCCGGTCATTTATTAATCGTCATCCTCCATTCTGAAGAATCACGGCGGAAGGTGTTTCGCTGTGCTCGGGGCCCTTCCCGGGACCGTCCAAGAACTGCTCGGGACGATAAACTGGTCCCGGGAAATGGGTCGAGACCTCCGGGGGTCGACGCTATGAACAAATCATGACGTCGGGGGTCTGGGGAGGGGGGACATCGAGCTGCCGATCGACAGGGGACAGGCCCCCGAGTAGAAAACCCGCACGTTCCAGGGCGGGGCAAGCTATCGGGCCCCGCTCGGCGATCAATACGCGATTGGGGGTCGATGCATCCTCACCTGAGCCTATCCCCCCCGAACGTTGCCCCTGATCTCCGCCCCGGTCTGCACGGTGTTCTTCCGCGACGGCATTGGTATCTTCCAGAAGAAGTTCTGCGGCTTGACCTCAGAGGCGGTCCAGTTGAGCCCATGGTTGGTGGCATTCGGGGGAGGCCCTCGTCGCCACAGCTGAACGCAGCTCGGAACGTTGGTACGTTTGGACTGATAATGATGGTAGAAGTGGTGATGATGATGATGATGATGATGATGATGATGATGATGATGATGATGGTAGTAATGGTGGTGATGATGATGACGAATGATGCGATGATGGTGGTGATGATGAGGATGATGAGGATGACGCTGAGGATGATGCTGAATGTGCTGCTGCTGCTGCTGCTGCTGATGATGATGATGATGATGATGATGACAACGACGACGACGATGATGATGAGGATGGTGGCAATGATGGTGACGGTGATGATGATTGTGATGATGATGGCGATGATTCGGATGATGATGATTATGATTATGATGATGATGATGATGATGATGATGGTGATGCTGGTGATGATGATGATGATGATGATGATGATGATGATGATGATGATGATGGTGATGGTGATGCTGATGGTGGTGATGGTGATGGTGATGCTGATGGTGATGGGAGGGGTCTGGGGATCGATTTTGAGCTGCTGTCGTCTCAACTCGCCCTGCTCCGATGACCGGGGCGGTGGTGGTCCGGACGCTGGCGCGCTGCGACGCCGCCAAGTCGTTGCGCGATGTGCGCGCGGAGCCGGCGTTGCCGAACGTCTTCGGGGCCGGCTGCCTCCCGCTGCTCCCGCCGCGCCTCTGGCTGCGTGGTAGCAATGCCCTAACCAACACATAACAGCCAGCGTGTACCAGTCAGTGTGTTTTGGTAGTATATGCTGTAGTACAATCAAGATGGAGCAATCGATGTGGTGCAATCGATGCAGTGCGCACTCTATGTGCTGCAGCATCTGTAGTGCAATGTATGTTGTGCAACATATGTTGTGCAAGCTATTTTGTGCATGTGGTGCAGCATGTGGTGAATATATGTCGTGCAACCTATGGTGTGCAATCGATGTGGTGCAAACTATGTGGTGCATTCGATGTGGTGCGCAATCTCTGTGGTGCAAGCCATGTGGTGCAATCTAGGTGGTGCGCAATCGACGTGGTGCAAACTATATGATGTAATCTATGTTGTGAGATCCAGGCTGTACAGTCTTTGTGGTGCAAAATGCGTGGTGCAATATATGTGGTGCAATCTATGTTGTGCATGTATTTGTTGCAGTCGACATGGTGCAATCTGTGTGGTGCCATCTCTGTCGTGCACTCCTCCCAAAACAGTGTTTGCACTTGTGGTCAGTTATTTCTGCTCTAAGGAAAGGAGCCTGAAGGTCGGCCCGGCGGCTCTGTCGCCGCCGTCGCCGCCCTGTCGCCGCCGTCGCCGTCCCGTCGCCGCTTCGTCGCCGCCCGTCGTCTGGGCCTGAAAATCGGTCTGGCGCTATGTCACCGCCGTAGCCGCCCCATTGCAGCCTCGTCGTCCACACACATGCATATATGTATGTATACACATAATGTCGCACACATACCACCACATAGATTGCACCACGTGGATTTAGACCGCTTGTCACAACATAGGTTGCCCAAAATAAGCTGCACCACGTAGACTGCCCAAGGTGGTTTGGACCACATCGATTCTCCTTTCTGCAACGAGAATAGACTCTACCCCCCCCCCCGGACTTATCGCTTTCCCCTGTGATAATATGATTTCATATATGTTCTGCACACTCGTCCATCCTAACTATGAAATCGTACCATCCCAGGCAGGCCGGGTTGCCCCCCCTGAGGTTCCCATGTAAAAAAACACTATGCGGTGACATTTTTTGTTCTAACGTAGCACTTTTTCGCGAATCCCTTGCAAAAAGTAGGACGAAGTGCACACGCGCGCGTCGTCGCGCGCGCATGCCGCAATCCTTCAAAAACCTTCGGTGCCGGAAGGATTTCGCAATCGAGTTTCCAAAACACATGCAACAACACATGGTTTCGCAACACTGATTTGCTAAACAAGCTTCCGCGCGAGCTCTTGCGAAATCTTACGAAAACCATGGGTTTTTCAAGATTTTCACAAAATGCTACCAAACGGGCTTCCCGCGCGCATGTCGAAATCTGTCGAACGCCCTTGCGCGTGTGCCGTCGCGAGAATCCTGTGCAAAAAATGGGGCGAAGTGCAGACGCGCGCGTCGTCGCGGGCGTATGCCGAAAACCTTCAAAACCCATCGGCTTCGGAAGGATTTCAAAATCGTGCGTCCAAAAAACGTATAAAAAACCCAAGGTTTCGCAACACGGATTTTCACCAAAAGCGTGCGCGCGCGCTCTTGCGTCGTCGTCGTCGTCGTCGTCGTCGCCGTCCTCCCTCCTCCCGCGTCGTCGTCGTCGTCGTCGCCTACGTCGTCCTCTGTCTTTCCTCGTGTTCGTCGTCGTCGTCCTCTTTGGCGTCGTGGTCGTTTCCGTCGTCGTTGTCGCCGTGGTCGTCCTTCCTCCTCCTCCCTCGTCGTCGTCGTCGTCGTCCGTCGTCGGCGTCTCGTCGTCGTCCCTCCTATTTCGTCACCGTCGTCGTCGTCGTCGTCGTCGTCGTCGTCGTCTCCCCTCCTCCCTCGTCGTTGTCGTCGTCGGCGTCGCCGTCCTTCCTCCTTCGTCGTCGTTTGCGTCGTCGCCGTCCTCCCTCCTCCCTCGTCGTTGTCGTCGTTGTCGTCGTTGTCGCCGTCGTCGTCCTTCCTCCTCCATCGTCGTCGCGTTCGTTGGCGTCGTCGTCGTCGTCTTCGTCGTCGTCGGCGTCGTTGTCGTCGTCGAAGTCGTCGGGACGTCGTCGGTGTCGTCCTACTCGTTGTCGTCGGTGTCGTCGCAGTCGATCTTAGCAGGTTTTGCAAACCAAGTTGCGGGTGGGTGGGTGGGATGTTTGCGCGAGCAGTGGAGATGACGACTTCAAGTTCAGCAGAGTGGATTGCACCCTTTAGATTTTTCCACATATATTTCATCACATATATGCGGCCATGCTGCTTGTACAAAATATACGGCGCCATATATATACATATATATATATATACATTTATGCTGCACCACATAATACACAACATGACTTGCACAACCTACATTGCACAACACTGATTGCAAAACGTAGATAGCACAACCAATATTGCACCACATCGTTTGCTCCGCATATCTGGTACAACGTATATTGCACCACGTAGATTGCACAGCATAGATTGCACAACGCACACACGTCTATCTATATATAACAAAAGATCAACCCAATCAGTGGATGCTTTGGACATTCGTGATATGGATATTGAGATCGACTGTAGGATCGACTGTGAGACCGATCGTGGGATCGATCGTACGGACAATGGTAAGGCTGATCGTGACACCGGCCGTGAGGTCGATTCAATGAGATCGCTCGTGCGATCTATAGTGGGATCGATTGTGAGATCAATAGAGAGGTGGGTCGTGAGATCGATGGTGGGACTGATGGATAAAGAAACCGACCAAGAACCTGGGAACCTGGAAACCCGGGAACCCCGCCGCCCACCGAAATCTGTCCGAAACCAGCAACTGGGAACCGGGAGCCAAGAACAAGGAAACCGGGATCCCGGCCGCCTACCGAAATCGGCCCGGTATTTTCGACAAATTTTCCAATCGCCGCTAAGACCCCTTCAGTTCAAGCACTTATTAGGGAATAGAAATATAGATGTAGACTGCCCCGCGCCAGTTGCACAACAACTGCTGCTAGAAACACACAGTTTGGGGTCCGCGCTGGCGAAAATGAGTGGTGCAATCAACGTGGCGCAATTAATTACAAGTCGCAGTGGATCGTCAATTCCACTGCTCGCGCAAATACCGCACCCACCCGCCCGCAACTTGGTTTGCAAAACCCATGCGGGGGCGATTGCGACGAGTGCATGGCGTTGGCTGGTGCATCTCTGCGGCCGCGCGAACCCGCGCATGGTCGCGCGCGCAGCGGCCAGCTGGATTGGCGCGATCGGCGCGGCCGCGGCGGCGCTGACCGTTGCGGACGTCCCATCGGGCACTTCAGTGCGAGTCGGCGGCTTGGGCGGGCGCGGTATCATGGCAACGTCGACAACAGTAGACACGATGATGGTAGTAGCGATTCTGGTGGCGGTGATGACAACGACGACGACAAGGCCACTGACGCCGCCGACGTTGACCACGCCGATCGGCAATGAGTTTTTAAGTAGCTCGACGTGCGCGCACGGCCGACGCGCGCGAGTGGCCCGCAAGGTGTTAGTTGACACGGGTCGTGTCCCCCCAACGCGCGCGCAGGGGCGTTCGAATGATGCTGGCATGCGGCGCGAGAGGCCCGTTTGGCCGAATTCAATGGATATGTTGAAAGCCTGCGATTTTCTTCAGAATACGCACGAACGCGAGCGCTGACATTTTTGAGAGCTTCAAGTGCAACGCGAGGTGTTATATATATGTATGTGTGTGTATGTATACGGAACACTCGATATTTTGCCGCATGCGCGCACGCGACGAACCGAGCGCGCGCACATCGCCAATGTCTTGCAAACGGTTTTTGCAACAGCACGCCCGTAAGGGTGCTCGAACGATTTCGACATGCGCGCGCGAGGGGCACGTTTTGTAGCATTCGACGTAGATGTTGAAAAACCCATGGTTCTCTGCAGAATCTGCAAGAGCGCGAGCGCAGGCTTGTATTGAATATTGTTGCTGCGCGAAACCATGATTCGTTGTTACATTTCATGTACGATATGTGTCGCAGGGCACTCAATTTTGAAATCCTTGCGACACTTTTCTTGATGGGGGGTATATTTCCGCATGCGCGCGCGAGGACGCGCGCGAGCACTGCGACCCACTTGTTGCCAACATCTTGCGACAACACGCGCGCAACTGCGCTTGAGCGGTTCCGGCACTCGCGCGCGACAGGCCCGTGTGGTAGCATTTTGTGAACATGTGGATAAAAAACGTATGAACTTGTTTCAAAAAATGCGCTTTGGCGCGAGCGCAGTTTTTTGTCGTTTGAGAACTCTCGGTGCAAAACCATGTGTTTTATTTTTTTCTGGACGCTCGATTTTGAATTCTTTACGAACTTTTGAATGTTTGAACGATCTGGGCATGCGCGCGCGACGACGCGCGCGTGCGCACTTCGTCCCTTTTTTGAAAAAAAAAATAACTAGCTGTGCAAACTGATGATTTTGGGTGCAGGCTTAGCTGGGGCCATATGTGTTCATATTTCGGATGGGCGATGGGGCAGAATCGTGTGCAACTTGCAATGCGAAAAGAGGGCCCGTTAATTCTGGGGGGTTAGATCCGACTGCTCTTTCAGAGAGGAAAAGCAATGTTGTGCAATCTACGTGGTGCAACCCACCAGTGACCGCAGTGAATTGTCAATTCCGCTGCTCGCGTAATCATCCTACCCACCCACCCGCCATTTGGTCAAACAAGAACCCATGCGACGGCGATCGCGATGAGTGCTCGGCGTTAACTGTTGCATCTCTGCGGCCGCGGTAGCGCATGCATGCTCGCGCGCGCAGCAGCCAGCTAGTGCGGCGCGACCGACGCGGCCGCGGTGGCTCTGACCGCTGCGCACTTCCCCGCGGACTTCAGTGCGAGTCGGTGACGGGGCCGGGTGCGGTATCATGGCGATGCCGACAACGGTAGACACGATGGTGGTAGTAGCGATGATGGTGACGATGGTGGCGATGACGACGGCATGACCACTGACGGCGCCAATGTTGATCACGCCCGCCGGTAACGATGACGATATCCTCGCGTCGTTGATGAAGGTTTTGTAAAGAGTTCGACATGCGCGCGCGGCCGACGCGCGAGAGTGGCCCGCAAAGTGTTATTTGACACGAGTCGTGCCCCCCCTCAAAACGCACGCGCGCCAGGGCGTTCGGATGAGTTCGACATGCGGCGCGAGAGGCCCGTTTGGCAGACTTTGATACACATGTTGGAAAGCCGATGGTTTCCTTAAAATTCGCAGGAGCACGAGCGCAGGCTTTCTCGAACACTGACATTGCCAAACCATGTGCGTTTTATTTGCTTTCGGGACACTCGTTTGTGACATGCTTACGAAAACGAAGGTGTTTGACAGATTTCGGCATGCGCGCGCGACGACGCGCGTGCGCGCACTTCGTCCCATTTGTTACCAACGGTTTTTGCGACAGCACGCGCGCAGGGGCGCCCGAACGATTTCGACACGCGTGCGCGAGAGGCGCGTTTGGTAGCGTGTCGTGAACATGATGAACAACCGATGGTTTTCTTAAGAATCTGCAAGAACGCGAGCGGGGGGTCGGTTTGAAAATCCGACTTGCTAAACCATGTATGTATCTGTTTTCGTAACGCTCGATTGTGGCATCCGTACGGGACCCACAGTTTTTGTTGCAGGATTTCGGCATGCGCGTGCGACGACGCGCGCGTGTGCACATCGCCCCGGTTTTGTTTCCAAGTGGTTCTGGAACGCGGATGATGTTCATAAGCGAGTGTGCGATCATATCTTCCACAAAGGATGAGGAGGGTGTTGATCTCGGCTTGGCTGGGATGGTACGAATTCATACTTCGGATGGGCGATCGGGCTGAATCATCAGTACATTGCCATACAAAAAAGGGAGCGGTTAGACCTGGGGGGGGGGTAGATCCGAATACTCTTTTAGAAGGGAGACTCTATGTTGTACAATCTGGGCGGCGATGGGGCGGCGACGAAGCGACAGCGAGCACGGATCCGCCAGCCCCCCAATCAGGCTTAGATGACGGGCGGCGACGAAGCGGCGACGGCGAGCACGGAGCCGCCAGACCGACATTCAGGGCCAGACCACGTGCAGCGACGAGGCGGCGACGACGAGCACGGAGCTGCGAGACCGACATTCCGGGCCAGTTCCTTAGAATAGAGGCACAATCCCCTAAGTGCAAGCACTGTTTGGGGAACGCATGACCATCCGCGTTGGATGAGCTGACAGCTCTCTGTGGTTGCATGGTTAAGCATGAACGACGTCTACATCGCAGAGCGAGGCAAGGGTTGGGCTGGGAAGAGACCTGCCCCTCCCGGAACAAAAACTCTTGCCCCGATGTGTGGCCGCCGCGCCGCGACCGCCGCAGCGACCTCAAACACCGACCCGCAGGTTGGGTTCAGGGTCGGATGTCACGCAGCGAGCCTCTTCGCGGCCTCTGCGCCCTCCAGCTCCTCGAAGCGCACGCCCACGGGGCTTCCCGCCTCCTCCTCAGGGGAAACCAGACAGGGCACCGATACCGTTCCTCGCCGGACCGCTCCTGCAGGGTGCGCTCTGACGGATCCTAGAATTGCGAGGCGACTGTCCGGCCGTGGCGGCGAGGGCCCTGGAAGGCGAAAGCGGGCCAGCGGGTGGCGGTACCGGTGCCTTCGCCTCCTCCGATCCTCGCCCTCCGAGATGCCCGGCAGCTCGGGCGCGGGCGCGCAGAAGGAGCTGCCGCGCGGGGGGCGCGGCTCGACGCGAGCCGAGCTGCCGGCGGCCTCGGCGGAGCCGGAGCTGCCGCGGCTGGCGCGCTCCTGCGCGCTGTCCAGCAGCCGCCGCTCCTCCGCCGACAGGCCGGGGGGCCCGCGCGACTTCAGCTTCTCCATGAGCCAGATGGGCACCTCCACCTGCCGGGCACGCGCCGCAGCCCTCGCGCTACCGGGAGGAGCGACCCAGCAGGAGCGAGGGAGCTCTTCCGGCCACGGCGGGCCTCGGCCACGGACGGGCTCCACGGCCTAGATCTGAGGGGCGAGCCGAAAGCCAGAGCCCCTACGGAACTCAACGAGGTCTTTTTTTCAACGCCTTGATTGTAGCATTGATGCGGGATCTGTGGACCTGGCGCGAGGGCGATACCCGCCAAACATGAAAGCATTGCCGCCTCACTTGGCGACGGAGCGCGTCCATTTCTGATGGGATCGGAGCCGTCGTCAAGCCAAACTCCCTATTCAATACTGTTTTTTCCTCGAACCTGCCCCTGGCCCCGGCTACACCAGAGCTCGCCGTCAGAGTCGTCGGAGTCCCCCCCGTCGTTCTCGCCGCCGCTGCCGCTCGAGCTGGAGCTCGAGCTGGGGCTCCTCTTGGCCAGCGTGCCGAAATTGATGGGGCTCTCCTCTGGGAAGCCAAAAGGTATCGATACCGCTACTCTTCGGACCTCTCCCGGGGCGCGTCCTGACCATGACGTCGCGACGAATCCAGCCGCGGCGACGAGGGCCTCCCAGGAGTCGCAGAAAAAGGCGAAACCGAGGGAAGGTGGCGGCATCAGTGCTGCTTCCTCGTCTTACTCCTTGTGGTACAGCACCGGCTCGTCCAACTGGGAGAACTGAGGCCTCCCCTCCGGCTCGCCGCCGCCGCGGCTGCCGCGCTTGACCGTGGGCCCCTTCGGGCTGCACTGAGCGCCCCGCAGGCTCGAGAGCTCGGCCAGCGGCGGGGACACGACTATGGCGGGCGGGTCCTCCGTGAGGTCGAAGGGGGCGGGCGCCTTCGCCGCGTGCGGCCTCTGGGAGGGGCCCCCGGCGGCGTCCTCCTCCAGAGGGAAGAAGAAGGGGCATGAGCATAAACTTTCGGAGCCCCGCGCGGATGTCTCGGATCGGCGCTGGAGCCCTCTGGCGGCGCCAGGGAAGGGGTTCCAGCGCCGATCCCTGAAGTCTGCGCGGAGCTCCGAAAGTTTATGTTTATGGCGTTTTTTCTTCTTCGATCCTCCTCCTCCTCGTGCAGCCTCGCCAGCAGCGGGCCCGCCGACGAGGACGCGCGGGAATCGGCGGTGAACGTCCGCTTCCACTGCCGGTCCGGCAGGGACTCGAGGCTCTTGCTGCTGTTGCTGCGGAAGGAGCTCCTGCGATCCGCGAACACCCTGGAGAAGCGGTCGGCGGAGGAGGCCGCTGCCACCTCCGTGTCCAGCGGGGTGGCCGTCAGCGCCTGCATCTGCGCCTCGCGCGCCTTCGTGAGGCTCTTCCTGGGCGGCTCGCGCCCCGCAGGCGCTGCGCCCTCGGCGGCTGGGGCGTCCAGGCCCAGCCTCGGCAGCGCCGCGGGGGTGCCGCGGTTGGACTTGGTGCTGTGCCTGGGAAGGGGCAGCAGGAAGGCTCGAGCGCGGCGGGACCTTTCGGAGGTCCGTGCGGATTTCTCGGATCGGCGCTGGACCCCCCCCCACCCCCTCCCTGGCGCGCGGACTGCGCCAGGGGCGGCGCCAGAGGCGCCGCCCACGGGGGCCCAGCGCCGATCCCAGACATCTGCGCGGAGCTCCGGCAGTTCATATCTTCATGCGCTTTCTCCTCCTCGAGCTGTGCCTCTTGACCCCCTGGCTCGTGGTGCTCATGGTGCTCACCCGCCGGTGGGCGTCGTCCACGGGCGCCGGGACGATGCCGAAGCCGCCCGAGCCGTCTGGCTCCCGGTCCTCGACCTGTGAGAAACTCCCTGGACCGCTGCACGGGAGGAGGAGGAGGAGGAGGAGGAGGAGGAGGAGGAGGAGGAGGAGGAGGAGGAGGAGGAGGTAGGAGGAGGAGGAGGAGGAGGCGGAGGAGGAGGAGGCAGGAGGGCAGGAGGAGGAGGAGGAGGAGCCGGAGGCGGAGGAGGAGGAGAGGAGGGAGGAGGAGGAGGAGGAGGAGGAGGAGGAGGAGGAGGGGAGGAGGAGGAGGAGAGGAGCGAGGAGGAGGAGGAGGGGAGGAGGGAGGAGAGGAGGAGGAGGGAGGAGGATGATGAGGAGGAGGAGCAGGAGGAGCAGGAGGAGGAGGAGGAGTGAGGAGGAGGAGGAGGAGGAGGAGAGCAGGCGCAGGAGGAGGAGGAGGAGCAGGAGCAGGAGGAGGAGGAGAGGACAGGAGGAGGAGGAGGAGGAGGAGGAGGAGAAGGAGGAGGAGGGGGAGGAGGAGGAGAGGAGGCGGAGGAGGAGGAGGAGGAGGAGGATGAGGAGGAGGAGGAGGAGGAGGAGGAGGAGGAGGAGGAGGAAGGGGGATGCGGAGGAGACGGGGACGAGGAGGAGGAGGAGGAGGAGGAGGAGGAGGGAGGAGGAGGAGGAGAGGAGGAGGAGGAGAGGAGGGGGAGGAGGAGGAGGAGGAGGAGGAGGAGAGGAGGAGAGGAGGAGGAGGAGGAGGAGGAGGAGGAGGAGGAAAGGGGGGTGAGGAGGGAGGACGAGGACGAGGAGGAGGAGGAGGAGGGGAGGAGGAGGAGGAGGAGGAGGATGAGACCGGAGTCTGACAAGCATTCGAGGGCGTAAACCCAAGCCGTGCGGCGGGGGCTCCTGGGAGTCCAGGCAGGGCGGAAAAACGAGGCAAGGCAAACAGCATCGGCGCCTTTTTTGCCCCCCTGACGACCGGCAGCGACAGGTCCGCCTCCTCCGAGGCCTGCGAGGAGCCCTGCGACCTGGCGTCGTCCTTCGAGCCGCTGCGGCCCGCGCCGGCGCGCCCCGCGTCCCGGGGGGCGCCCCCGCGGCGCCCGCCCAGCGGCTCGCGCGGCGCGCGCCCGGGCCCGCGGGGGCGGGCCGCCCTTCGAGGCCTCCCAGATGGAATCCGAGCAGGCGGGGTCGAAGGACCGCGCCGCGTCGCCGAGGCATCGCCGATGCCTCGCCGACGTCGGCGAGGCATCGGAGACGCGGGCGTGGAGAAGATCGGGCTCCACATTGCGTTGCGTCCCCGATGCATCGGCGGTGCGGCGCGGTCCACCGACTCCATCTGCTCTGACGGCATCTGGGAGGCCCAGAGGCATCCGCCGATCTATCTGTTGCTGGATCCGCGGACCCAGCCCTGAAGTCCTGGCGTCCCAAGTTTCCCGAGCCGGGCGCGTTGGCCTTGTGATTTCGGGTCCCGGGTCCTCACAGATCGATCCGGCCCAAGAAACCCAGCAAAAAGATCAGGTCCAGGGCTTCTGTGGTGATTGGTCACGATGCCGCCTTTTTTCAACGTCGGATCTCAGGGGAGGAAGCTTCCGACCCCTTCCTCGGGGCTGGAGTTGCGCTCCGTGGCTCTGACTCTGCTGGCGCCCAGGAGCCCGAGAACTGGAGGGAGGGAGGGAGGGAGGGGCAGGGAGGAGGGATGGGGGGGGGGGGCAGGGAGGGAGGGATGGAGGGAGGAGGAGGAGGGAGGGAGGGAGGGAGGAGCGGAGGGAGGGAGGGAGGGAGGGAGGGAGGAGGGAGGGAGGGAGGGACGGGAGGGAGGGAGGGAGGAGGAGGAGGAGGCGGAGGAGGAGGAGGAGGAGGAGGAGGAGGAGGTAGGAGGAGCCCCCAGAGGCCGGAGCTAGAGAGGAAACAACGCTCCGCTCGAGAGAGCACGGCGTCGCAGGCCTGGCTTTTGGGGGGCGCAGCGGGCCTCTATAGCGGCCGCTCGGGGCGACCGGGGTGCCCCCCCAGACGCGCTCCGGCGAGGCGCCGCCGCTGGAGGGCAGCCCCGAGGGCGGAGAGCCGCCGAGAGCCGACGGGAACGTCCGAGAGCCTCGAGCAAGGGCGCCCAAGCTTCGCGCTTTCGCGCTTGCGCGAGCCGCGAACAAAGCTTCGCGCCCTCGCGCCCCCCCCCCCCCAGAGCAGGAGAGGAGGAGCACGAGGAGGAAGCGGAGCCGACCCGCGAAGCGCGAACAAAAACCTCGTGCCCTCGAGAGCGCCCTGTGCCGAACCTCGAGAGCCCCCCGCCCCTTCGAGTATAACTTCGTGCCCTCGAGAGCGCGAATAACTTCGTGCCCTCGAGAGCGCGAGTAACGCCGCGCCCTCGAGAGCGCGAATAACTTCGAGCCCTCGAGAGCGCGAATAACTTCGTGCCCTCGAGAGCGCGAATAGCGTCGTGCCCTCGAGAGACCCTTCGTCGCTCGAGGGCCTCAGGAGGCAGGAGGCGCCGCAGCCGAGCGCCAGGGCCGCGCTGCCCAGCGGCAGGCCCAGGGCCGCCGCCCCGCAGAGGCCTGGGAGAGGCGGGGGGGGGGTCAGCGCCGGGGGGGGGGGGGACACGTCGAGCTGGAAGCGGCGAGACGTCGCCGATAGTGCATCGAGCAGGGGGGG